AAAAAGGGGGAAGCACCTCGCACCCGCCCGGCACCGGCAAAGCCCCTGGCGCCATCACCCATTTCCGAAACCCCAGCCCCGCCGGCCCGCAGGGAACCCGCGCGACATGCGCGTTTTCCAACCTGCGCCGGCAAATTGGGGCGGGGCTCCTGTCGGGCTGCCGCCGCCGTCGCGCCACATGGGCGAAGGGCGTTTCGAAGAAACATTTCTTTTAAAATCGCCATTTTTTTTTATCCCCCAATGCCGTTTGGAGTAGCCCCTGCCTTCTGGGTGCCCACCCGCCCTCTGCCAGTTCGCCTGGCGGCTTGCTGGTTTAGCGGTGTTTCCCTGAAAAGGATTCGGAAGGCCTTCCCAATACGCGACTTTTGGCTTTGCGTTCTTTGGGTGGGGAACAAATTTTGCTTTGGGAGCCAAGAGATTTCGGCAGGTTTCAAGTGGAGACGCGCCTTCTCCAGGGGTGGGCTTGTTTATTCCAGATTATGTTCTTCGATTTGTTCCGCTTTGTCTGAATACGGTGTGCCCTTATCGCAAAAAAAAAAAATGGACACAACATCAGAAGAGCCACATAAACAACTCAAATTTATAGAAAACACTCACCCCTCATTACCTTACACTACTCGCAAATGGGCAGTTTTTCGGCCTCGGTCCAAAACGATCACCTACCCGCAGACCCCCTTCACAAACGGCACTTCCCTTAATAGCCACACATCGTGAAGACTTTTCGGCGCGACACATCATCCGCTCGGTTGCCACTCAAAGGGTTGTACTCGAAAAGGGCGCTAAGACATAACGCATCCAATAATACAAAAACATGCGAGAGTTCCGACGAAAGGGCGCAGCGCTTCACCGATCCCTTCGAAGTAGACCCTCGTAAAAAGGCATTATCCACCCAAATATCCAAACTGTGATGGGGAATACGGGTAAAGGTAGGCAAAGTCAAAAATACGGAGCGCGCCCCAGCATGCATGGCGGGAGGCGGGGCACACCGCCAGCGCCCCACGCCACAACAAACACCCCACTTGAAAACGGCAAAAACACCCACACCATCTAAACAACCAACGAACCTGTGATAAGCGGCACCTTCGGGGGCACAACTAAATAAACACGACGCGGGGCGTTGCTTAAAAGGGTTTCTTACAGCTCTCGCCCGAAACAATTGCAGAGGGCGGAAGGCCAGCGGATTTTCCACCACCAACCAAACTGCTTTTCAAAGCCGGCAAAAAACACCTCATTGCCCTCAGAAAAAAATAATGATGGTAGAGTCGTGAACACAAAAACCGCCGCAGCGCACAGCGTGTGGAAAGGCAAAACTTCCATCGCAGCCGCGGAAACCTCGGATAGAGGAGGGGCCGCCCGTAAAGAGCGAAGGGTCTTGTTGCTAAAAAAACACCTCTCCCTATTGTTGTGGTCGAATCGCGCGCCTAAAACAAGTGTGCTGATGAACCGCTGGGTCCACCTCACTGATGGTGGTCTCACAATTTTTTGCATTCTATTGTGCAACATTTTCCCAATCGATGGCTGCCGCGCGGTTGCCCGAAATATGCAAGTTGTTGATTCAAGCCTCAATGTGCAGAGCCGGAGGCGCAGCCCATTTACGGAAAGTAACCTCTGGAGCTCCGGCAACCGCCAAAGTGACCCGCTGCAGAATCTCTCGCCCCACCTTGTGCCCATGGGAAGGTGCTTCAATTCAAACAGCGTACCCACCTTACCCCTGTAATGAAACAAATGTTAGGCTTTCTGTGGCAAATCACTCTGGAAGAACGACGCCTTGAGATCGAACAAAAAAGCCAAAACCAACAGCACCGAAGGCAAATATGAAATGTGGTTGAAAGGTGTATTTTTCCTCATAGAGGCCATCGGCTTTTTTTTGCCCCGTGGCCATATAATCCAACACCGGTGTTATCGCGAAGGTGTTTCCTCCACAACGGAAAAAGGAATGACCCAAGCCCCGGTAGGTTCAAACGGGGCGTAGCACACGACCCAAGCCCTTCGCAGCCAACAGGCATCCACGGCAAATACTTGAAGATGCCCAAACTGAGAAACAGGCCACAGAATGCACGACAATAGATTCCAGAAGTTCTGAAAATTGCGCTGCTCCGCAGGGGCCCAACTGGGAATGAGCCACCGCACGTCGAGAGCATGAGGGTTAAACTGCTGCAGGGGAACTGCCGCCTCGCCACCTAGAGTGGACACAGGTGTGTGGCATATTCGTCGAGTCACGGCAGCCCCCTTTTCTTCCCATCGGCTTGCCTTCTAATGGAATCGAGGGTTCCTGAATAGCCAAACCCACATCAAAGCCACATTTTCCGATACCCAACTAAGCAAAGTTGTAGGCCGGCCAAGGTAACATGCCGTACTCTTGGGAAGATCCAAAAGGCCGACGTGTGTCGCCGATTGCGGGATCAAATGGTGCTCAAGAGCGCGTTGCAAAACTAAACCCGCCGCGTGCCGCAGGGTCATCCCATTGGATTGAGCGCGCCAGCGCATCCAGCCGGGCAATGGTCTTCTTTACTTGCGGCATCTCCAGGTCGGTGGTATTTTCCCCGCGCCCTAACGTCAACAGGAGCGAAGCCAAAGTGAGCCCATCGTTCCTTTTTATGCGCAGGTGAAGGGGCAACCTCTATGAATCCATTTTTGCTGCCTTTGGGGCCAGCGGCCAGTCTGGGAAGATGAATCCGCCCCGTTGGATGGTGAGGTTCTTATGGGTCTGGGGGCCACCTTCGCCTAGCGGCTCGCCGCTGCCCGCGCCAGTTGCAATAGCGCAGGCCCCACCCCCATTCACGAAGCAAGGGGAAAGAAACGTAATAAATCATATTTTAAATTTTAGCAAAAGTAGTAGGATTGTGCATGGATAGGGTCCCACAGAAAACGCCAAAAAGTTAGTTTTTATGGAACTGATGTAGGGGGGGGGGGNGGGGGGGGGGTGCGGAAAGCGCCCTTAACCCGCCCCCCGGGCCCCCTTTTAAAGCCACACCCCTTCGCGACGCCCGTCGGTTAGACCCTTTCACCTCGCAAAATGTCGTCTGCAGGATTATTTTCCGACATGGCATAGTCCCATGTGGCTTGTGCGCCTTGTTCGCGCGGAACCTCATCAGCGGAGGGGCTTCCCGCACAAGCGCATCTGGTGGGGTGTGGGCTTTCTTTACTGCGTGCATAAGCGTTGTGTTGCCAATGCGCATGTGGAGTGCCATGGAAAAATCCCCATCGAAAGCCCAAAAAGCCAATCCGACTTCCCTGACTTCGGTTTGTGAAATTATGTCTGTGTCCTGTTTCCAACCGCCCCCTGTGACCCATACTTTCCCGATGCCCTTCAACAATAAAAACCCCCATTCGCACATGGAAGCGTACGTAACTAACGCACCGAAAGTGGGTAAAACCCATTGAGGGTAAACTGGGTTGTTCTCCAATAAGATATCTAGCCAAATCTGGCCAGCCTTTGGCGCTTGGGAGGGCAACTTTGCCAGATATTGGGGCTTTAATAATCCCCCGTTGAGTCGCGTCAATCTTCTACGAACCCTTTTTCGAAAGAATTAGTGCGGAACTAGCGAGCCAAGGAGCATGCCTGCTGCACGTATCACGCGTGAAGTTATGCCTTCCAGTTCCTCCGCAGTAACCCTGGGGAGGGGTGTGGCCCCACTTGGCTTCTTTACCGTTTTATCGCTAAATGAGACGGTTTTTGCTTTATGATTGAACCACACCCCGATGAATTCATGGCTTTTTCTAAGAATCTTCTGCTCTCCCACCGTTGCGCCGCATCGGCCCACGTTTGTTCAGCAGTGCGGCCTCATGGGTCTACGCATGCGCAAGGCCCTCCAATACGGATATTATCGATCCAAATATATATCCTTAACTCACACGGCGCTGCATATGTAGATTTTAAGATTTCTGGGTTCCAGGTCAAAGCTCTCGCGATAGTATGCAATATTTCCGAACCGCATTTGCACACCATTGGAAGCCGTGCGAACTCTACTAGTTCCCCACTTTTGTATGACACCGGAAATTCGTGCGCATAACGCTGGTAAACACACTTAGAAAAAGGACACCTTCATATCAAAAATAGTGGGGGCTCCATCATAAACCGAAACCCAAATAACGCGACATATGCCCCAGAGGCACCGAGACTTCGCAATCCTCTTCATCATTTTTTTCCTTTTGGCCAGTCAATAAAACGCTGCTGCGGCCCTGGGTGTTTCTCCCCAACGACTGTGAAGGATCCACTTAAACTGCACAGGGTTGCACCAATGCGTTTTTAATAATACCAGTCTTTTTCATTATCCCTGCGCCTTCTGATATCCTCAAGAGGAGCCCCCGTCCTGCTTTCAGTCAAAATGCGGGCTGCCGCATGATTGCCAATACTTTATTAAAACGTTTCAGCGCCTTGAACTTAAGTCGACTTCTGACTCAGTCGATTAAGAGAGTATCACCTTGGTGATGCCGGCCACCCCATCTTGGCACCAAGGTCCAGTACCCCGTATTGTCGGGGGAAGCCAAGCGCCAGCAACGTTCGCCANGATGCCGGCCACCCCATCTTGGCACCAAGGTCCAGTACCCCGTATTGTCGGGGGAAGCCAAGCGCCAGCAACGTTCGCCACCTGGAGAACATTGCGGCGCCAGGCTTGCGGCATCACACAGCACCAGGACCCGCCGCGCCTTGCTGGGACACAGCATTATCCTTGTCGGTCTTGGGGCGCGTGTTACCGCGCCATCAGCAGTATCATCCGCACCAAGTTACTTGCTTAGTGGAACCCTTGCCTTTTCGATGCGGCCACTGCGAGTTCGGGGCCCTAAGTAAGACGGGGCTCTTATCCCACATCCGTCACAAGCATCGCTCCCCAGAAGAACCGCCACGAGCAGTGAAACCACGGCCCGCATTATATTGCCCAATATGTCTCAGACCCATGGGCAACGCTGGAGGACTGGCAAGCCACATGAAATACAAGCACCCCGGCGAACAGAAT